TGCAATTGAAAATCACATCAAACACTTATCATAAAACATTATCATGCTGTGATGATCAATTTGAAGAAAGAAGTTCAACAACAGGTTGACACTGAGTGGAAAGCATGGTTGTTGTGGATGTTGTTTCAAAGCCAAACACAACGAAATGGACAGCGCTTTCTAAGGTGATGATTAAAAGCATTTAAGACGTTGCATGTAGAACACCCATAGCCATATTACAGCTAATGCATATGTCAATTAAAATAATGATTGTGCAGTTATACAATACATAGCCTACTGCATATTACGCACTGCAGAAAAACATTAAAAGAAACAGACTTAAGATGTCTTTGGTACATAATTGGTCTAGCCTCGCCTCCAAAATTAAACACATTCTAGTGATCGCCTTTGAGTGTGGACTGTATTATTACACATACTGGATGGACTGGTTCCCTTATGCTATGCTCCAAACATTATAATCATGAGTCTTTCGAATAGCCTAGTAATAGGGCTTTTTTTATATTTTCATAATTAACCTCTACGGGATCTTACTATAAAATAATATAAAATAAAATAATGGCACGGGACAAAAGCCCCAAAACATCACTGCTCTAGAAGAGATCTGCATGGAGGAATGGGCCAAAATACCAGCAACAGTGTGTGAAAACCTTGTGAAGACTTACAGAAAACGTTTGACCTGTGTCATTGCCAACAAAGGGTATATAACAAAGTATTGAGAAACTTTTGTTATTGACCAAATACTTATTTTCCACCATAATTTGCAAATAAATTCATAAAAAATCCTACAATGTGATTTTCTGGATTTTTTTTCTCATTTTTTCTGTCATAGTTGACGTGTACCTATGATGAAAATTACAGGCCTCTCTCATCTTTTTAAGTGGGAGAACTTGCACAATTGGTGGCTGACTAAATACTTGTTTTACCCACTGTATCTTGTCAGCTAAATAAACAGGCCTACAGCCTATTGCATGGTGCATAGCCAGATAACATAGGCCTGCAGTAGGCCAACTCATATTCTATTAATATGCTGGTATTACCTTTAGCTACAGAAGATCTCACTACCGTGCGTTTCCATCTCCTCCTCTCTCTCCTTAATTCCTTTCACAAGCGTGCAGAGATAGTTTTATTAAATATGTTTCGTTGTGAAAACATGTTACTATCGATGTTCCCGAACAGATTTCACATGGTTTCCCAAATTAAGCACTGGGTAACTGCAGGAACATGGTTGGAGAGCCCATGACATATCACGGAATATCACCTGTCGCGCAGCGAGTGGCTGCATGCCATTCAAACAGTGGTTGATGCATGAAGTGAAATAAGGGTTGTTATAAGCCCAGACATTTCTTTATGCAATCCCGTGTGAAAGTTTTGATGGTTGCCACTAAAAAGAGGAGGATCCTAGCCGCTACTATTTGTTTTTCAGCTGCTGCACTATAAAACCGGAGTAGTCTACCTGGCTTTTTTTTTTTTTTATGGGAAAGCGTATGGATGTATTTTTTTCCCCTGCCCTTGTTCCTGCCCTGGGCCATTTTAATATTATTATTATTATTATTTTTACATATTAGTAAAGACAAGATTAAATTGAGAATAGTCTGATGGGTGAAAATATGATCACTTGATGAGAGAACAGGGTGTGAAGCCTGAGGCAAGGAACAGAGCGCAGGCCTTTTTTGTGACTTTTTCAAATAGTCAATAGACTATAGTCGCATCATGCAGCCCATATACGGTATGTTTTGATTTCTAAGACATTCTAAGGTTTGTATCATTCACAACTAAATTAGCCAAATAACTCTAAATCTAGCATATAGGACCTGTTTCAAATTATCACTTTTATGCTCAACATAGCCACTTCTTATGCACACTTTCTATTTTATTCAGCTACAGTGAGGGAAAAAAAGTATTTGATCCCCTGCTGATTTTGTACGTTTGCCCACTGACAAAGATATGATCAGTCTATAATTTTAATGGTAGATTTATTTGAACAGTGAGAGACAGAATAACATCAAAAAAATCCAGAAAAACGCATGTCAAAAATTTTATAAATTGATTTGCATTTGAATGAGGGAAATAAGTATTTGACCCCTCTGCAAAACATGACTTAGTACTTGGTGGCAAAACCCTTGTTGGCAATCACAGAGGTCAGACGTTTCTTGTAGTTGGCCACCATGTTTGCACACATCTCAGGAGGGATTTTGTCCCACTCCTCTTTGCAGATCTTCTCCAAGTCATTAAGGTTTCGAGGCTGACGTTTGGCAACTCGAACCTTCAGCTCCCTCCACAGATGTTCTATGGGATTAAGGTCTGGGCCACTCCTTTGTTGCCTTGGCCGTGTGTTTTGGGTCATTGTCATGCTGGAATACCCATCCACGACCCATTTTCAATGCCCTGGCTGAGGGAAGGAGGTTTTCACCCAAGATTTGACGGTACATGGCCCCGTCCATAGTCCCTTTGATGTGCTGATGTTGTCCTGTCCCCTTAGCAGAAAAACACCCCCAAAGCATAATGTTTCCACCTCCATGTTTGACGGTGGGGATGGTGTTCTTGGGGTCATAGGCAGCATTCCTCCTCCTCCAAACACGGCGAGTTGAGTTGATGCCAAAGAGCTCGATTTTGGTCTCATCCGACCACAACACTTTCACCCAGTTCTCCTCTGAATTATTCAGATGTTCATTGGCAAACTTCAGACGGGCCTGTATATGTGATTTCTTGAGCAGGGGGACCTTGCGGGCGCTGCAGGATTTCAGTCCTTCACGGCGTAGTGTGTTACCAATTGTTTTCTTGGTGACTATGGTCCCAGCTGTCTTGAAATGATTGACAAGATCCTCCCGTGTAGTTCTGGGCTGATTCCTCACCGTTCTCATGATCATTGCAACTCCACGAGGTGAGATCTTGCATGGAGCCCCAGGCCGAAGGAGATAGACAGTTATTTTGTGTTTCTTCCATTTGCGAATAATTGCACCAACTGTTGTCACCTTCTCACCAAGCTGCTTGGCGATGGTCTTGTAGCCCATTCCAGCCTTGTGTAGGTCTACAATCTTGTCCCTGACATCCTTGGAGAGCTCTTTGGTCTTGGCCATGCTGGAGAGTTTGGAGATTGATTGATTGATTGCTTCTGTGGACAGGTGTCTTAAATACAGGTAACAAACTGAGATTAGGAGCACTCCCTTTAAGAGTGTGCTCCTAATCTCAGCTCGTTACCTGTATAAAAGACACCTGGGAGCCAGAAATCTTTCTGATTGAGAGGGGGTGAAATACTTATTTCCCTTATTAAAATGCAAATCAATTTATAATATTTTTTAAATACGTTTTTTGGGATTTATTTGTTGTTATTCTGTCTCTCACTGTTCAAATAAACCTACCATCTTTGTCAGTGGGCAAACGTACAAAATCAGCAGGGGATCAAATACTTTTTTCCCTCACTGTAAATTCAATTATATTATTCTTACTATAGAATTATATAATTCATTTGCATTCATTTGCATGACAATAACCGGCTGACAAAATGTCATGACCGCCACAGCCCTAGCCACGCCCTTACTAAACTATGCCTCCAGTCTTCTGATCTGATCCGCTGGGTCATATCTCAATAACTCAACACCAATAACCCAGCATCAACAACCCAACCTTGCTCGTTTTATAGAACATAACCAAACCAATTTGACCCAAAGCCTGCAACCCAGAAGACACTTCTATACTGTACAGTTGTAGGGCTATAAAATGATGATCCTGGAGGGCCGAAACATTTCCGTTTTTTATTTCTCCCTGGTAGTTCATTGATCCTTGACTGGAAGTTGACAGTATCTGTTGGAAGAAATGCAGTTTGAATCTCTTCTCCGATACACTTTCTTCAGTGTTACCCTGCTGATTTGTATAATGTCATCCAGCCCATTATCTCAAGTGAGAATATTATGTGACACCTTACAACAGACTTACACATGCACTAATTATGTTATGTATTAAATGGTGTACGATAGCAGTCTGGTGACATGGCTAATGACTGTGGAGATGTTTCATTGCTCTGATTTTTATTGTTTATGTAGAGATACATATATGGCAGGTATGAGAGAGGTAGACAGATCAGAGCGATAAATAGTGAAAGGGTAGACTAGGGGCCTCCAGGGGCAATATATGTGGGCTCCATGGGCAATATACACTGAGTGTACAAAACATTAGGAACACCTTCCTAATATTGAGTTGCACAACCGTTTGCCCTCAGAACAGCCTCAATTTGTCGGTGCATGGACAAGGTGTCAAATGCGTTCCACTGAGATGCTGGCCCATGTTGACTCCAATGCTTTCAATAGTTGTGTCAATTTGGCTGGATGTCCTTTGGGTGGTGGAGTATTATTGATACACACAGGAAAACATTTTGCGTGAAAAACCCAGCAGCATTGCAGTTTTTGACACACTCAAACTGGTGCACCTGGCACTTCCTACCATACCCCATTCATAGGCACTTAAAGATTATGTCTTGCCCATTCACCATCTGATGGACACACATACACAATCCATGTCTCAATTATCTTGAGTCTTCCACATTATTCTTTAACATGTCTCCACCCCTTCATCTACACTGATTGAAGTGGATTTAAGAAGTGGCATCAATAAGGGATCATCGCTTTCACCCGGTCAGTCTATGTCATTAAAAGAGTATGTTCCTAATGTTTTGTACACTCAGTGTATGTGATCTGGCGGTGGCAGCAGTACCGCTAGACTAACCTCCACCCCTCATTGCTCTGTGTTTCTATCTCTCTCTGTGATTTTTCCAGATCCCTCCCCGTTCCACAACAACATGGGAGCATATAATATGTATATGAAGTATATGTGTGGATATGCATGCAAACTACACTTTTCTGTTGTAAATAGTACATGGTAGCGGTTTTGCTTACGATGTCCATTTTAGGACACCCTCAAGCCTCAACGATGTCATTGTGATGATGATTAATTTCTCTCTGTTGACAGATATGTTTCTGTCTCTCTCTCTTTGCTTCTCTCCAGATATCTCCCCTTTCCACAACATCACCCTCCAGGGCCAGTACCACTGTCACCATGGCCCAGGGGTCCCTCTGAAACAGTTGTGTGACTTCACGATGGACTGCCCACTCGGTGACGACGAAGGTGACATGTGCAGTGAGTACAGCTTATCTATACTGAACAAAAAATATAAAACGCAACATGCAACAATTTCTACGTTTTTACTGAGTTACAATTCATAGGAGGAAATAAGTCAATTGAAATAAATAAATTAGGCCACATGACTGGGCAGGGGTGCAGCCATGGGTGGGCCTTGGAGGGCATAGGCCCAACCACTTGGCAGCCAGGCCCAACCACTGGGGAGCCAGGCCCAGCCACAAAAGGGCTTTATTATGACATTGGAGGCATCCTCAACCTTGTAAAGTGGCAAAGCGGCAAAATAGGACAGCCATGGCAGGAGCTCCTTTAATGAAGCTGTTGTGCCCCAGCTGCCTGCCATTACAGAACTATGGTTACGTACCAAATGGCACCCCATTCCCTACATAGTGCACTACTTTTGACCACAGCCCTATACGGTGACATTTGGGACGCAGACCACAACTATGGCTGCCTGAACTTACTTGACAGAGGCACTCCAGAGCGCCGTCAGAGTAATAATGTTTCCCACGCCGACACCATGCATCACTAGTGTTTCTCACCCTTAACATGTTTCTGCATGTACACATTTGTTTTCTCAAGGCCCAGGAATGGTTTTATGCCAATGTTGGGTTGGAAAGTTCCCCTAGCCCTGCGTATTATTGTACGCACGTGTGGCTGGGTGTGTGTGTGTGTGTGTGTGTGTGTGTGTGTGTGTGTGTGTGTGTGTGTGTGTGTGTGTGTGTGTGTGTGTGTGTGTGTGTGTGTGTGTGTGTGTGTGTGTGTGTGTGTGTGTGCAAGGGCGTCATGCCCATTGAAATGCACAGGTCTCAGTTATTTTCATTTGTACACTGAAAATATAGAAGATAGTGTTTCTTTAAGTCATGATTGCATGGCGCTTGCAACGCCAGGGTTGTGGGTTCGTTTCCCACGGGGGGGCAGTATGTAAATGTATGCACCCACTAACTCTAAGTCGCTCTGGATAAGAGCGTCTGCTGAATGACTAAAATGTTAAAATGTAAATGATGAATTAAAAGAAATTGAATTTGGCCATCAATGTACCCTCAAAAGGATTAGGTACATGACATGTGTGTATGTGTGTGTGTGTTAGTGTATGTGCGTGTATGTGTGTGTGTGTGCAGTTCATCATATATACATATACATACAGTGCCTTCAGAAAGTATTCACACGTCTTGACTTATTCAAAATGTTGTTGTGTTACAGACTGAATTTAAAATGGATTACATCTGAAAGTTTTGTCACACACAATACCCCATAATGTTAAAGTGGAATTTTGTTTTCGAAATTGTTACAAATTAATTAAAAATGTAAAGCTTAAATGTCTTGAGTCAATAAGTATTCAACCCCTTTGTTATGGCAAGCCTAAATAAGATCAGGAGTAAAAATGTGCTAAACAAGTCACATAACAAGTTGCATGGACACACAAAATATTCCAAAACATGAATCCTGTTTGCAACAAGCCACTAAAGTAAAATTGATAAGAATGTGGCAAAGCAATTCACTTTTTGTCTTGAATACAAAGTGTTACGTTTGGGGCAAATCCAATACAACACATTACTGAGTACTACTCTCCATATTTTCAAGCATAGTGGTGGCTGCATCACGTTATGCTTTTAATTGTTATGGACTGGGGAGTTTTTCAGGATAAGAAAGAAATGGAATGGAGCTAAGCACAGGCAAAGTCCTAGAGGAAAACCTGGTTCAGACACTGGGAGATTAGTTCAACTTTCAGCAGGATAATAACCTAAAACAGACCAAATCTACACTGGAGTTGCTTACCAAGAAGAGAGTGAGAATGTTCCTATGGCAGAACTTGAAAATGGTTGTCTAGCAATGATTAACAACCAATTTGACAGAGCTTGAAGATTTTTGAAAATAATCATGGACAAATATTGTACAATCCAGGTGTGCAAAGAGGTATGAATACTTTCTGAAGGCACTGTATATAATTGCATGTGTGTCTCTGCACATATCTCTGGAAATACATTTGAAATTAATTCTGGAAAAACATACAGAATGTTAATGTACCCCAAATGAATCTCCATTCATGCACATGCATATGAAGCTGACCAAAATTAATATCAGCATGCCTCACAGTGCATGATTATCCTCCTGTGTGCCACTTATTACCTTGATGGCCACTCCCCTGTGCCTATAGGTCAGCGAACCGTGGGGGCTAGCAAAATAAGAGGCTAACATGAGTGTTCAAATCCCAGGTCTGATGGCTTTTTCCCTGCTAATGACGCTAGTACATATCAAGCTATCAATGCCAATTAGACTAGCACGCCTACCCAGGGGGATAGTGTACATTTGAATGCGGCGTGTGCTGGAGATCCCCCAGAGAGACAGACCATTGCATGACAGTTGAATTATTCAATACTTAAAACATGAAATGCATGGAGATCGGTATGCTTGATGGCCTGAGGTTACACAGCCTGGGATTCACTGGAATTGTTGATACTGTTGCCTTTGTACAGTGAGTGACTTGAGAGGTGTGTATAACAAATTATTTGGAAAGCTCGTTACACATCCAAAGCTCCCGCTTTGTGGCGACTTCTCTGTTGTATCTTACTTCAAATAGTGCCAGTCAACCCTGTCAATTATGGAGTAGTTATTTGTCAATGGTTACGTTAACACTAGTTACATCATTGATCTTCTTTATTAGATTGACTGTATTTGACATGAGAAGTGGAAAGTACTGTACATTACTCTACTTCTCATATCAAAAACAATGGATATTTTAGTCACCTGCCCTTTTCCACTCAATATGTCCTGATGATTGCAACGTGATGGTAAGCACAAATGTGTTGGGAACTCAAAAACATTACACACAAAAAAGTTCCAAAAGAATAAACACGTTTCAAATGTAACATTATGTGCAAATAGTTAAAGTACAAAATATCAAATAAATAAACATAAATATGGGTTGTATTTACAATGGTGTTTGTTCTTCACTTGTTGCCCTTTTCTTGTGGCAACAGGTCACAAATCTTGCTGTTGTGTTTATCAAAATTGTGTTTGTTATGGAAGGTTTGGGAATCGCTTCCTTTTAGGTGGTTGTAGAATTTAACGGCTCTTTTCTGGATTTTGATAATTAGCGGGTATCGGCCTAATTCAGCTCTGCATGCATTATTTGGTATTTTACATTGTACACAGGACATATTTTTGCAGAATTCTGCATGCAGAGTCTCAATTTGGTGTTTGTCCCATTTTGTGAATTCTTGGTTGGTCAGACGGACCCCAGACCTCACAACCATAAAGGGCAATGGGTTCTATAACTGCTTCAAGTATTTTTAGCCAGACCCTAATAGGTATGTCAAGGTATATTCTTGCCTTGTCTCTCAGATTGTTCACAGCTTTGTGGTAGTTACCTGTGGCGCTGATGTTTAGGCCGAGGTATGTATCGTTTTTTGTGTGCTCTAGGGCAACGGTGTCTAGATGTAATTTGTATTTGTAGTCCTGGCAACTGGAGCACTTTTGGAACAACATTATTTGTATCTTACTGAGATTTACTGTCAGGGCCCAGGTCTGAAATAATCTGTGCAGAAGATCTAGGTGCTACTGTAGGCCCTCCTTGGTTGGGGACAGAAACACCAGATCATCAGCAAACAGTAGACATTTGACTTCATATTCTAGTAGGGTGAGGCTAGATTCGTTGATATATACAGTACCAGTCAAAAGTTTGGACACACCTACTCATTCAAGGGTTTTTCTTTATTTTTAGTGGTAGTGTTAATATAGCCCTGCGCCATGCCAGGGGATGGTCTGTGTGGAAGATTAAGTTGCTTATGTTCCCATTTTTATAATAGTCAGCAAGAAGTGTCTCTTGATTTTCCATAAGGAGCTTCATTTTGTAATCTTTTCGTGCTTTCTCATTTTTTACAGGCAGAGGGTACTGTATTGTAATGACCTCTGAACAGCGGGAGGGGGCTTCAAAGGCCTCTGCATTTGGGTGGGGTAGGCTGTGAAACTCTCCTGCCATTGTTGGGTTCACGGGCTTTGACACCTCTCACTTCACACCTCAGTGCTAATTGAAGTTGCAGTCAGATATGTTCTGTCCTAGCAAGCTTGGTAGCCTTAACTTAGCATTTACATTTACATTTACAGTTTAGTCATTTAGCAGATGCTCTTATCCAGAGTGACTTACAGTTAGTGAGTGCATACATTTTCATACTGGCCCCCCATGGGAATCGAACCCACAACCCTGTCGTTGCAAACGCCATGCTCTACCAACTGAGCTACACGGGACTATAACTGAGCATTCAGTCCTTCTAAAGTAAAATAGATCATTTTAATGTATTTTTCTTCTTGGCTTTAAAAGTAGCTTCAGACTAAACATTACTCACTCAGTTCCAGGTTGGATGGTGTTTGCCAGAGCATTTGCTGTATAGCTTGGAAATAAGACTATTAGGTAGTAGGAATGCTTCCAGGTAATTTTGTCCAAAATCAGGTTGTAGGTTTGGAGTTTTGATTTGGAGTGAAGGTTATGTTGTGGAGGGTAGTATCCTGTGTCTGTCCAAGTTTATCTTACTCGAAATCTATCTTTTTGTAAAAACATGCTGAAAAGTGCGGGAGCTCATCTCTCTCACACTCTTTCTCGCTCGCTCATTGATATTGAAGATGGGGGGGTGATTTCGTTTTTACACATCCGCCCCGTTTGAGGATCGAAGACAATGCTGGTCGATGTGTTTACAGTCGTGGTCGTCATTTCCACCCACCCTTTCTCGCTCTGCCTCTGCAGATGAGTCGCCGCAGTTGAGCAGAGGCTTCTATGATCGGTGGAAGACAGAAATGTAATTGCATTTGTGGCCATTGATGCTGATTTGGTAGTGTGTGTTCGTGTGTGCATGCACGTGTGTTCCCTTCCCTGTGAGTATCTTTGAGTCTTCTTAATTGTGTCATCCAGTGCCAATTATTGTAGAGAGAACGAGTTACAGAAGGAACTATTTCAGCATGGGACCGAACAGCAGGGGTGGTACAGGCCCTTAAAGAGCTAGCAGCATGCATCCTTGCTGAGATGACTTGGTAGAGTCCATGTGAAACAGGCCTAATGGTCCTACTAGAAGCCTTGGGCAACTACCTGCCCCCTATGAAGTGACTTTTAGGCAGCTATATATATCAGTGGCGGTTGGTGCCATTTAAGATGAGAGATTATTGGATGACTGTCATTCATATTCCATTCACCCAGCTCAATGTAACATTGATAGGTTTAGGCTACTACATGATACTTGAACGTTCCCTGTACCCACCATGAGGTTGCTACAACCTTTGAATGAAAATGTACAACGTAGGAGCACAGGTCGAGAGAATTCTGAGTAATCAAGGTGACAGACAGTCACACATTCAATGCCTCCTCTCTGATGTTCCATCTCTCTCACTGTCTGTCTGTCTGTCTGTCTGTCTGTCTGTCTGTCTGTCTGTCTGTCTGTCTGTCTGTCTGTCTGTCTGTCTGTCTGTCTGTCTGTCTGTCTGTCTGTCTGTCTGTCTGTCTGTCTGTCTGTCTGTCTGTCTGTCTGTCTGTCTGTCTGTCTGTCTGTCTGTCTGTCTGTCTGTCTGTCTGTCTGTCTGTCTGTCTGTCTGTCTCTCTCTCTCTATCCTAGGTCAGTTGAACTGCAGCTACAGCTCTTATGAGGCTACTCACTCTCTTCTCTTTCTACCTCTCTTGCTCTCTCTATCTTTCTCTCCCTCTCAGGTCAATTTCTCAACGGCAGCTATTGCTCCTTCGAGGATGGTGAGTGCGGCTGGCAGCCGACAGCGGCCAAAGGATCCTCCTGGAGGCGTGTCCACACCCCGCCAAAGGGGGTGTGGCCCAGCTGTTCATCATCCTCAGGTGAATCCTCCATTCTGATATCGATCACACAAACCCTTTACACAACCCCTAGCTTCCGCCAAGGTAGTCTGTTACCCCTTAAGGCACTTGTGAAGATCTGAAAAGACTGGATAGATGGCGGTAATATGTGGAAAAATTATTCCCGAAGCAAAAAGAGGAGCTAAACCATATTGCTTATACAGTACCTTATACAGTTCTTTCAATGCTACTCAAGTGCCTAGAGAATAGGGTGTAGGGGTTGTTTCTGGACGTGGTCGTCATCAATTTACTGTATGCCTTTTGTGGCTGTAATGCAAAGTAAGGCCTATACTGTATGCTCAAATTCATATTGGGCGTAACAGAGAAAACCTATTTTCATAGCTTGTAAAATGATTTGTTTGTGTGCATGTATGCGTGTGTGTGCGTGTGTGTTTGTGTGTGCATTCCAGGTGCCATGTTCAGTGTGGACAGAGGGCAGTCCAAGGGTCATCAGGTGTCAACGTTGCTCAGGAGCCCTCTCTTCCCCCCTCCCCTACGGAACTCTCGATGTGAGGTGAGAGCCCTCTCTCTCTCTCTCACACACACACACACACACACACATACAGAGAGACACACACACACACACACACATCAGACACTCAGAGACAGACAGACACACACTCACACACACAAAGCCCTCCTGTTGTGTGCACATTTGGAGACACAGCTTTGGGTAATTATAATTAAGGCGCATTGCACAAATAGATCAGATGTAGTCTTTTAAGTCTGACCAACCAGACTTACTGGGTGTGTCCCAAAGGGCACCTTATTTCCTTTATAGTGCACTACTTTTGACCAGGGCCCATATAGGGAATAGGGTGCCATTTGGGATGGAGACACAGAACGTGTGGAGCACAAACAACAACATGAATGGACAGACAAATTATGTTAGACAGGAGAGTCTGGAAGAAAACAGGCACACCTTGAATAAAAATAGAGCACTATTACTATTGAAAAACAAAGTTATTGATGATAGCAGGATTGCCGAATGACTGAAAGTTATTTGTATGTATAATGAGCAGAGCGCTCCTTACTTCAGGAAATTAATTCAACTAATGGATTTAAAAGTTCCTGTTGAATGTCTTGAAGCAATTTCTCTCCATTTAACTCTTAGTTTACCTTTAAGTTGCCGGAAAACACACAGACAGAGAGACAGATGCACACACCCATGCACACACGCTTGCACACACACACTCAAACACATTTACACTGGCCTGGGAAGAGCTGCAGTGGACAGGTGAGGGGGGTGCAAGTGGAAGCATGCGCTGCCTCATTTATCATTTATCAATTTAATTAATTAATTGAATTCAAATGTATTTCCTGAATTGAAAGATTACATGAAGTTTGATCCCAACCCTGATAGTGGCGGGTTAGCAAGCTATCATGAATGGAGTCGGTGACATTTCCCAGGGATCTCCAGACACGAGGTCAACCCAATTAATAAGAGGCCGTTCCTGTCAATCCGTTGGCAAAAAAAAATAGGATGGCGATATGGAATGCATTATTCGTGCCATATTGGTCAGTCTGGGACCAGTGGGGTTGTCTGTCAGGTCTAGACCGGGTGAGTCCATGGCTATGGTTGTAAACGTCTGCCTCATTATAGAAGGTGTCTGGCAAGTGGGCCGATATCATATTTAGAGGTTAGTATGGTGTCCATATTAGGTCACCCTCAATGTGTTTACACCACTAAGCACTGTCACCCTTGACCTTGTGTATTTGGGAGGAGGGGGAAGGTCCGTTGGATATGGAGTGCTGGGGAGAGAGAGTGAACAGGAGAGAGAGAGGAGTGTGTGGATAAGCACGACTAGACAGAGCGAGAGAGAGAGAGAGAGAGAGAGAGAGAGAGAGAGAGAGAGAGAGAGAGAGAGACAGAGAGAGAGGGAGAAGAGATAGAAAGAATAACAGAGGGGGATCAACTGAGGAGAGACATAGACAGAGATGCGGATATCAGTCCCGCTACAGCTACAGCACAGCTAGCGGCAGTCAGTGGTTCCTTGGCACGGCCCAAAGATTAGCCATGATTCCAGATTAGAACCTCAATCTCTCCCCTTACACGAACCTGAGCTGTCCAATGTACAGTACCTGCCTGTCTGCTCTGTCTGCCGCAGGACCCAATCTCAAGAGTAGATTGGCTTGGGTATTAGTTGCAGATCATGTCCACCTCGAAGTAATACCTGGCGAACACTGTTTGACTTCTATAATCTTGATGTCGGGGAACTTCTCACAGTTTCACAAAGGTGAAATCTGGATCAATGATTATTGAGTGAGGGAGATGGTACACTGCGATAGAATACCTTGTACTACATCATTGAAATTATAATTACACATTTTATCAGAGGGAAATCCTATTCGTCACCTGTGCATACTGGACAGACAGAAAGATAGCATTTAGACAGGAGTAATGTTGTTCAGTTCATTTGAGAACAATATGAGCAATATGAATAGGGAACTTTGTACAGCCAAGTGTACAGCTGAGGCAATTGATGAATCTGCAGGTGTAACTTTCTTGAAAGAAAGACAGATACCCGCACACTGCTCCTGCAGTTTAATTTAGTTAAACATTTTATACCCAAATGTCTTCCCTGAAGGACTGGCTGGATGAAGACCTTTTGGGTTAAAATGTTGCACTTAATAACACTGTGGGAACATTCAACAGAGTGCAGGTGTTTATCTTCATGATGTACCCTGCACCTGCAAGTAACTGGATGTGCGCACACTACTTCTAAACTAGTAATTATGACAGTATAACATCACAATCTGATGCGTTCAAACAAATTATTTGAGATGGCAATGTGTGTCTCAGTCAAGTCCTATTCAAGTCCTATTCAGACTCATTATATAACCTGACTTTTTTGATCTCCCCAACAGGTACGGTTCTGGATGTGTTCCGGAGGTGGCCAGAGAGGGGCACTGTCTTTGTGGCTGGTGGAAAATAGCACGCAACCAGAGGAGCAGCGTAGACTATGGTACTCTGCCAGCGAGCCCAAGACCAAGAAAGGCTGGAGACGCATTACCGTTCCTCTCTACGGACTTGTTGACTGGTACGGCAGATCAAGTTGCTCCATTAACAGACAGACAAGTGATTTGGCCAATCCCAGCCTTATGCAAACAGAGTGAAGTGTATGAATATGTAAAAAGGTCGAAACGGGTCACTGCGTCATTAGATTGTGAGATAGAATCATACTACATTTGAAACATGCACCACGTCAAAGCATTAAAGAACCAGCGAAACCACAGAGATGCATGTGCTTTGTGTATTCTTTTGGGATGAAAGAAAATACATTAAGCCTCTCACGTCCAAAGACACAGTAATTAATAGCTTTTTTCTTCAGTTCTTCCTTCAAAATGCAGATTTTCAACATTTACATTCCATTTTTAAGATAACCCTCCCTTTCACCCTGCAAACTTAATGAATCCCAATGGGTCCACTTGCCTTGTACTGTGAGTTCCCTATTCACCTTATCACTCACTGTATCACTTGTTTAAAAAAAAACTAAAAGAACAGGGAAGTGAAAATCGATAGAGGCCACCACTCATCCGCCTTTTCCTCCAATTAGCTATGGCACTTGATTTTTCAGTAATTCAGTGTGAGGAGCTGAAATAAATCAAATAAAAAAGCTGGACAATTAGTTTCATCTCGGTGTGCTTGATTGGGCCCTCTCTATCGTTGGAGAGTTATTATATTTGTATTCCCGGTTTTACAGAGTTTGTTCTGCTCACGTTCCTAATTAAAAGGCGTGTCCTTGCGCCTTATGAACTCGCCCGGACTCGAGGTACGACCTTTGGTCTGGATCACTGACATATAGGCAGAGGAATAGGGAAGTCAGTGGATAAAGGTTAGGTTGTAGTAGTAACCTATGTTTTTGGACTGTGAAGGGCAGTATGGAAGTAGATAAGGGCCAAAAAGTTTTAGGAGTTAAGTTAGGAGTTAATTTTTCAACCTTTTGAGTACTATGAAAAAGACGGCCAACACCCCCACATTAAATATGACTTAGATGTATTCTCAATCTGGACTTACAATGGACGCATTTCGACCATGAAGTCTTAATTGACCTTTCCACCAAGCAAATTTTAAAGACATTTTTGTAACGCAAGATGAGAGGAAAAGATAAGTGTCTTCATTTTGATAGGATTTTGTTCCGTAACAATGTAAAATGAAGCTTGCGGATGTCTTCAAAGTTGGCTCCCTACAGTAGTCTGTCATTTATCTTCTCTGTTCCCTTTGTCTCACTACTGCACACCAAATAGCATGAGCAAATGTAAGGGAAAAGAACAGTAGGTAATTGAAAGTCACTGTGACTTGAAAAAGACCCTTATCCTCTATGGGATCGGTGTCCCGTATGCAGGACGGTTGAGCTACCGTGCGCTAATGTGATTAGCATGACTGTTGTAAGTAACAGCAAACTTTCCAGGACATAGACATGTCTTATATGGGTAGAAAGCTTAATTTCTTGTTAATCTAACTGCACTGTCCAATTTACAGTAGCTATTACAGTGACAAAATACCATGCTATTGTTTGAGGAGAGTGCACAACAACAAAAAATGTATCACGGCAACTGGTTTGATACATTCACCTCTGAAGGTAAATAATGTACTTACATTCAGTAATACTGCTCTGATTTGTCATCCTGAGGGTCCCAGAGATAAAATGTGCATAGCTTTGTTTGATAAAATCAATTTTTATATTCAAATGTAGGAACTGGGTTCTATAGTTTGAACCCTTGCTGTCTCTGGCTCCACACCTACCCCGTCTGGCCATCTAGATGTTTTAGTGTATAAGCTAATGATCCATCATGTATGACATTCCTGGGAGTGTGTAAACTTACATTTTGTATTACCATATCATTTTTGTATGTTCTCTATAGTTATGTACTTGAAAATGTATGAATTGACCAATTCGGCACATTTGGGCAGACTTGATACAAAATAGTCCAGTATTGCAATGCTTCACTGGATCAATCTAAAGCTTTGCGAACACTGCTACCATCTAGTGGCCAAAATCTAAATTGCACTTGAACTGCAATATTATAGTGGCCTTTCTCTTGCACTTCAAAGATGATGGAACAAAAAAATTAATAGAAAATGCATGTTTTATATACTTTCCTACATTAATTTCATATTTCCACAAACTTCAAAGTGTTTCCTTTCAAATGGTATCAAGAATATGCATATCATTGCTTCAGGTCCTGAGCTACAGGCAGTTAGATTTGGGTATGTCATTTTAGGCGAAAATTGAAAAAAAAAGGGTCCGATCCTTAATTATAAAGCTTCGAACATTATAGAGAAAATTCATCATTCTAACATCCTAAATATAATTTTGTGTGGTACACATGCCTGGGAAAATAGGTAATTCAAGGTCTCACAGATCAGTACATTCAGTACAGGGTACAGTAATGTAAACTGTGGTCTTTGAGGCCATGCATCAGTGTTCTGTCTATTTGCCGTTTCTAATAGAACACTATAGTGAGGTCAGAACTCACTCATTCTCTACATGAGGTCTTTATGACATGTTCTAGTACTGTCAGACATCTCTTTATATAGGTTGTTTTCAACAATGTTACTTTTGAAATATGTAGTTGTGTTAGTAGAATATTTAAGTTATGTCCTGTTTAAAGTCCTTTATGTACTAATACCAGTAGAATACTGGAGTCAAGGATGGGAAGGATTAGAAAGGGATATCATTACTCTCAATATACTCTTTGCAAGTATATCTACACTCAGTAAACATACTCTGTCATTATCTTGTCCTAGACTTGAATCTGCATTGGGGGCAGAATACAGTGCCTTGCAAAAGTAGTCACCCCCCTTGGCGTTTTTCCTACTTTGTTGCATTACAACCTGTAATTTAAATTGATTTCTATTTGCATTTCATGTGAAGACATCAAAACTATGAAATAACACATGTGGAATCATGTAGTAACTAAAAAAGTGTTCAACAAATCAAAATATATTTTATATTTGAGATTCTTCAAATTGCAACACTTTGCCTTGATGACAGCTTTGCACACTCTTGGCATTCCCTCAACCAGCTTCACCTGGAATGCTTTTCCAACAGTCTTGAAGGAGTTCCCACATATGCTGAGCACTTGTTGGCTGCTTTTCCTTCACTCTGCGGTCAGACTCATCCCAAACCATCTCAATTTGGTTGAGGTCGGGGGATTGTGGAGGCCAGGTCATCTGATGCAGCACATCATCACTCTCCTTCTTGGTAAAATAGCCCTTACACAGCCTGGAGGTGTGTTGGGTCATTGTCCTGTTGAAAAACAAATGATAGTCCCACTAAGCCCAAATCAGATGGGATGGTGTATCGCTGCAGAATGGTTAAGTGTGCCTTGAATTCTAAATAAATCACAGACAGTGTCACCAGCAAAGCACCCCCACACCATTACACCACCTCAATTTTTTGGGAACTACACACGCGGAGATCATCCGTTCACCCACAATGCGTCTCACAAAGACACTGCGGTTAGAACCCAAAATCTCCAATTTGAACTCCAGACCAAAGGACACATTTTCACATGTCTAATGTCCATTGCTCGTGTTTATTGGCCTATGCAAGTCTCTTCTTCTTATTGGTGTCCTTTAGTAGTGGTTTCATTGCAGCAATTCGACCATGAAGGCCTGATTCACACAGTCTCCTCTGAACAGTTGATGTTGAAATGTGTCTGTTACTTGAACTCTGTGAAGCATTTATTTGGGCTGCAATTTCTGAGGCTGGTAACTCTAATGAACTTATCCTCTGCAGCAGAGGTAACTCTGGGTCTTCCATTCCTGTGGCGATCCTCAAAGTTCTTGACATTTTCCGTGTTGACTGATCTTCATTTGTTAAAGTTATGATGGACTGTCGTTTCTCTTTGCTTGTTTGAGCTGTTCTTGCCATAATATGGACTTGGTATTTTACCAAATAGGGCTATCTTCTGTATACCCCCCCACCTTGTCACAACACAACTGATTGGCTCAAACGCATTAAGAAGGAAAGAAATTCCACAAATTAACTTTTAAGAAGGCACACCTCTTAATTGAAATACATTCCAGTTGACTACCTCATGAAGCTGGTTGAGAGAATGCCAAGATTGTACAAAGCTGTCATCAAGGCAAAGAGTGGCTATTTGAAGAATCTCAAATATAATGTATATTTTTCATTTGTTTAACACTTTTTTGGTTACTACATGATTCTATATATATTATTTCATAGTTTTTGATGTCTTCACTATTATTCTATAACGTACAAAATAGTAAAAATAAAGAAACCCTTGAATGAGTAGGTGTTCTAAAACTTTTGCCCGATAGTGTACTTCATCTCATACTAGAGTTGAGTAATGCAGCTTGTGGTCATAAATGTTGTGTTCTAAGACCAGGTTGTGTGTCTCTACTGTTCTAAGATCATATTGTGTTTCTCCTCAGGTTCTGGCTCCAGTTCAGTACTGACAATGGAACAGGACAAGGATCAGCCATTTGTCTGGATAACATCTCCTTCAGCATGGACTGCTTCCTGGCATGTAAGTATTTTAGTTTAGGGGTTTAAAACAACAATTTCAGACTGTGGTGAAATAAGTATAGCCAGTTATGATTGTAATGGCTTAGCAGATAATAACAAAAGAATAACAATATTTAAATGGCTCAAAGAGAAGGAATATAATATCTATTGTTTACAGGATACCCATTCAACAATTCTAGATGAAGTTGCGTGGAAAAAGGAATGTGGGGGGTGGGGGGTGGGGACGGGGACGGGGGGGGGGTCAATATACTTCTCCCATGGGCTAAGAAACTCAAAAGGGGTGATGATATTAATTAACAGTAATTTCGATCCGAATGTGCAAATTGTCCAAACAGATGCGCAAGGTAGATGGATTATTTTAAATATGTTATTGGACCATAAACAAATATGGCTCATTAACCTTTACGGACCAAATAATGATGATCCACACTTCTATGAAAATATATATAATAAATGATTGACCTTGCAAGCAGATTATAATACCATTTTAAATAGATCCATGGACCGTAAAGGAAATCACCCTCATGCTCTTAAGGAAATCGTGAATGTCATGGATACATTAGAACTAGTAGATATATGGAGGCTTATATATCCTGATCTAGTGAGATATACAGTGAGGGAAAAAAGTATTTGATCCCCTATTGATTTTGTACGTTTGCCCACTGACAAAGAAATGATCAGTCTATCATTTTAATGGTAGGTTTATTTGAACAGTGAGAGACAGAATAATAACAAAAAAATCCAGAAAAACGCATGTCAAAAATGTTATAAATTGATTTGCATTTTAATGAGGGAAATAAGTATTTGAACCCTCTCAATCAGAAAGATTTCTGGCTCCCAGGTGTCTTTTATACAGGTAACGAGCTGAGATTAGGAGCACACTCTTAAAGGGAGTGCTCCTAATCTCAGTTTGTTACCTGTATAAAAGACACCTGTCCACAGAAGCAATCAATCAATCAGATTCCAAACTCTCCACCATGGCCAAGACCAAAGTGCTCTCCAAGGATGTCAGGGACAAGATTGTAGACCTACAGAAGGCTGGAATGGGCTACGAGACCATCGCCAAGCAGCTTGGTGAGAAGGTGACAACAGTTGGTGCGATTATTCGCAAATGGAAGAAAGACAAAATAACTGTCAATCTCCCTCAACCTGGGGCTCCATGCAAGATCTCACCTCGTGGAGTTGCAATGATCATGAGAACGGTGAGGAATCAGCCCAGAACTACACGGGAGGATCTTGTCAATGATCTCAAGGCAGCTGGGACCATAGTCACCAAGAAAACAATTGGTAACACACTACACCGTGAAGGACTGAAATTCTGCAGCGCCCGCAAGGTCCTCCTGCTCAAGAAAGCACATATACAGGGCCGTCTGAAGTTTGCCAATGAACATCTGAATGATTCAGAGGAGAACTGGGTGAAAGTGTTGCGTCAGATGAGACCAAAATGGAGCTCTTTGGCATTAACTCAACTCGCCGTGTTTGGAGGAGGAGGAATGCTGCCTATGACCCCAAGAACACCATCCCCGCCGTCAAACATGGAGGTGGAAACATTATGCTTTGGGGGTATTTTTCTGCTAAGGGGACAGGACAACTTCACCGCATCAAAGGGACGATGGACGGGGCAATGAACCGTCAAATATTGGGTGAGAACCTCCTTCCCTCAGCCAGGGCATTGAAAATGGGTCGTGGAATGGGTATTCCAGCATGACAATGACCCAAAACACACGGCCAAGGCAACAAAGGAGTGGCTCAAGAAGAAGCACATTAAGGTCCTGGAGTGGCCTAGCCAGTCTCCAGACCTTAATCCCATAGAAAATCTGTGGAGGGAGCTGAAGGTTCGAGTTGACGAACATCAGCCTCGAAACCTTAATGACTTGGAGAAGATCTGCAAAGAGGAGTGGGACAAAATCCCTCCTGAGATGTGTGCAAACCTGGTGGCCAACTACAACATCTGACCTCTGTTATTGCCAACAAGGGTTTTGCCACCAAGTACTAAGTCATGTTTTGCAGAGGGGTCAAATACTTATTTCCCTCATTAAAATGCAAATCAATTTATAACATTTCTGACATGCGTTTTTCTGGATTTTCTTGTTGTTATTCAGTCTCTCACTGTTCAAATAAACCTACCATTAACATTATAGACTGATTATTTCTTTGTCAGTGGGCAGACGTACAAAATCAGAAGGGGATCAAATACTTTTTTCCCTCACTGTACATGGCGGAGACTCAATCAAGCTAGTCGTCTTGACTTCTTTCTTATGTCATTCTCATTGGCACCAAAAGTTTAAAAAGTGTTGATAGGGGACAGAATGCGGTCGGACCATCATATAATTGGCATATACAGTGGGGAAAATAAGTATTTAGTCAGCCACCAATTGTGCAAGTTCTCCCACTTAAAAAGATGAGAGAGGCCTGTAATTTTCATCATAGGTACACGTCAACTATGACAGACAAATTGAGAAAAGAAAATCCAGAAAATCACATTGTAGGATTTTTAATGAATTTATTTGCAAATTATGGTGGAAAATAAGTATTTGGTCAATAACAAAAGTTTCTCAATACTTTGTTGTATACCCTTTGTTGGCAATGACACAGGTCAAACGTTTTCTGTAAGTCTTCACAAGGTTTTCACACACTGTTGCTGGTATTTTGGCCCATTCCTCCATGCAGATCTCCTCTAGAGCAGTGATGTTTTGGGGCTGTCGTTGGGCAACACGGACTTTCAACTCCCTCCAAAGATTTTCTATGGGGTTGAGATCTGGAGACTGGCTAGGCCACTCCAGGACCTTGAAATGCTTCTTACGAAGCCACTCCTTCGTTGCCCAGGCGGTGTGTTTGGGATCATTGTCATGCTGAAAGACCCAGCCACGTTTCATCTTCAATGACCTTGCTGATGGAAGGAGGTTTTCACTCAAAATCTCACGATACATGGCCCCATTCATTCTTTCCTTTACACGGATCAGTCGTCCTGGTCCCTTTGCAGAAAAACAGCCCCAAAGCATGATGTTTCCACCCCCATGCTTCACAGTAGGTATGTGTTCTTTGGATGCAACTCAGCATTCTTTGTCCTCCAAACACGACGAGTTGAGTTTTTACCAAATAGTTCTATTTTGGTTTCATCTGACCATATGACATTCTCCCAATCCTTTTCTGGATCATCCAAATGCACTCTAGCAAACTTCAGACGGGCCTGGACATGTACTGTCTTAAGCAGGGGGACACGTCTGGCACTGCAGGATTTGAGTCCCTGGTGACGTAGTGTGTTACTGATGGTAGGCTTTGTTACTTTGGTCCCAGCTCTCTGCAGGTCATTCACTAGGTCCCCCCGTGTGGTTCTGGGATTTTTGCTCACCATTCTTGTGATCATTTTGACCCCACGGGGTGAGATCTTGCGTGGAGCCCCAGATCGAGGGAGATTATCAGTGGTCTTGTATGTCTTCCATTTCCTATTAATTGCTCCCACAGTTGATTTCTTCAAACCAAGCTGCTTACCTATTGCAGATTCAGTCTTCCCAGCCTGGTGCAGGTCTACAATTTTGTTTCTGGTGTCCTTTGACAGCTCTTTGGTCTTGGCCATAGTGGAGTTTGAAGTGTGACTGTTTGAGGTTGTGGACAGGTGTCTTTTATACTGATAACAAGTTCAAACAGGTGCCATTAATACAGGTAACGAGTGGAGGACAGAGGAGCCTCTTAAAGAAGAAGTTACAGGTCTGTGAGAGCCAGAAATCTTGCTTGTTTGTAGGTGACCAAATGGTTATTTTCCACCATAATTTGCAAATAAATTCATAAAAAATCCTACAATGTGATTTTCTGGAGAAAAAAATTCTCAATTTGTCTGTCATAGTTGACGTGTACCTATGTTGAAAATTACAGGCCTCTCTCATCTTTTTAAGTGGGAGAACTTGCACAATTGGTGGCTGACTAAATACTTTTTTTCCCCACTGTACATTACTCTTGCTGAATTTCCACGTGGGCGAGAATATTGGAAATGTAATCAAAGCCTATTGGATGATAACTTGTTTTTAACTAGGACAGAGGAATTTACAACTGATTTTTTCCGACATAACATAGGAACAGCAAATCCCCTTATTGTATGGGACACCTTTAAATGTGCCTTTAGAGGCCATGCAATTCAGTACTCATCTAGAAAACAAAAGCAATTTAGGTCAAAAGAGTCCACACTAACAAAGGAAATAGAAGGTCTAACAGAACAGATAGATAGCAATAAAAACTGTAACATAGAGGCTCAGAATAAATTAGAGAAAAAACAAAAAGAAATTGAAAAACTTATTCAAGAAAGATCAAGTGTAATATATTATAAAAATAAAGCAAACTGGATGGAATATGGGGAAAAATTCACCAAATTATTTTTTAATCTTCAACATAGGAATGCTACCAAAAAGAATTTATTGAAACTGGTTACAAATGACGGAGTCACCCATGATTCACCAAATTATATTTTGAAGGAGGAAACAAAGTACTTTAACCATATGTTTTCGTTTCAGTCGCCTCCATCTCCTCTAATTGAAGCAAATTGTAGAGATGGTGGTCCTCTGTAGCTCAGCTGGTAGAGCACGGCGCTTGTAACGCCAAGGTAGTGGGTTCGATCCCCGGGACCACCCAAACACAAAAATGTATGCACGCATGACTGTAAGTCGCTTTGGATAAAAGCATCTGCTAAATGGCATATTATTATTATTATTATTCTATTGATAATGTTAAATTAACAGCCATACAGAAAGACTCACGTGAAGGTGAAATTACAGAGGAGGAACTTCTGGATGCAATTAAAGACTTTAAGTCTGGGAAAACTCCAGGGTTGGATGGCATACTAGTCGAGGTATACCAAACCTTTTTTGATATACTAAGAGGACCGTTATTAGCATGTTTTAACCACTCCTATGTAAATGGTAGATTATCAGACACTCAAGAAGGTCTGATTTCATTATAACTGAAACAGGATACAAGTGGAAAAGATCCAGTCCATTTAAAAAATGAGC